GGATTAAGGAGTAATAAATAGTAATAAAGTACTCCACTATAACATATTGTGTTATTAAATTTATTAAATTTACTAGTTATGATTACGCGCGATGCGCGAGAGGATAATGTCCAATTATAGTTTTGTGTACACAATAATTTTAATAATGCATTAAAAGAGTACTCAGTATGTTACAACGTCAAATGTAAGACTGAGAATTTAGTAAGATGTACTATGGTTTACAAAATAGTGGGGATAAGCATGTTAAAAATTATGATTTAATGGCGGAATGAACATGCTAAACAAGATAGAAATTTGGTTCTTGGAACTAAACTTATTTAGTGACAAATATTGAAGGTGAGATAGAATGTTTTTGCAGATTAAAATACAATCATTGTGTGGGTTCATAACTTAATGTGGGAGGTCCATATATAAGAGGAAAAAAGAAAGTTGACGACTTTAGAAAGTGGTGTTAATTGAGTTAGCTAATCTAAGGTAGTATATTGACTGATAACCTACAGGTGTATCTGAAGGGAGCGAAAAGTGAAAGTGAATTTACATAAACTTTGCACAAGTGAAAATCAAATAGGAATACATCCATTAAAGCAACTATAAATCAAGGAATTAAATCACTATGATGAAAGAAATGACAATAATTAAAAGACAATGTCATAGGCAAGAGTCAGATAGGGCCTCGAACTTCGAAAAAAATGTCAAATAAGGCCATATTTAGGTTGCTATGTCCGGCTAACGCCATTTGGGTTGGTTCCCGGTGGAATTTTTTGATGAATTTTTTTGAGAATCTTATTCATTAAGTCTAATTTACTCATATCAAATTTGAATTACCAATTCAATCGGGAAGGCATTCAAATGAATTCTTGAAGATAATTGCGCTTTTAACTGCACAGTTATCTTCAAGAATTCATTTGAATGCCTTCCTGATTGAAGTTTTAGTTCAAATTTGATATGAGTAAACTAGACTTAATGAATAAGATTCTCAAAAAAATTCATCAAAAAATTTTATCGGGAACCGCCCCAAATGGCGTCGGCCAGACAGAACATCCTAAATATGGCCTTATTTGACATTTTTTAAAGTTCGAGACCCTATCTGACCCTTATCCCCTCAAATTAAAAAACTAAAGCAATTGCTAGGTTTCATGTCAGGGACAGAGCCAGGATGTAATGTCAGTGGTTTTAAAATAACATACCAACGAAAATTACCCTAAGGCTAGCGGAGATCATATCAGGCCGGCCTGACGGGAAACTCCATCAAGCCAAGGCCACATAGGACCCTTCCCGATCGAATATTTTGCTCAGATATTTTGAGCATGTTCTTCATTAAGTCTAGTTTATGCCCACCAAATTTCAGCTAAAATTTCAACCGGGAAAGCAGTTAAATAATTTCTTTACAAAAACTGCGCTTTATGTATAAACAACGCAGTTTTTGTAAAGAATTTAGTTAACTGCCTTCCCGATTTAAGTTTAAGCTGCAATTTGGTTGGCGAGAAACAGACTTGATGAAGAACATGCTCAAAAAAATTCATCAAAAAATTCCACCGGAAAGAACACCAAATGACCTCAGCCGGTCTGACAGGTTCGCTTCTCTTACCCTAAATGAGAGTAAAAATAATGTGAATTTTTAATTAGGAGTATTATATTATTTTTTTAGTTTCTTATTAAATATTATCAACATTATTCTTTCAATAATACATAAAAAACTTGTGAGATAGGGGAGTTTATTATATATATATTGACAGTTTATAAAAAATTAGTGCATGTTGTCATTTTTAACACTTTCAATCTATATATACATATACATACAACAAATATATAGTTTGATTGGTGTCATTTTTAGCACTTTCAATTTATTTTTACACATATATATACAATAAATATATAATTTGAGTGGTGTCATTTGACACTATAACCCAACACTTGGCTCCGTCCCTGTTTCACGTGCGATTAAGTTTTCATGTGACTGCCCTCATTCAATCCTCTAATGCTTGTTTGACAGGGGTGATTTGGCTGTGCTAATAGTTGGGGCATCCTCATTTGTGGGATTTTCTTCATCCGTTTTGTCATGTGGTGAGAAGAGTTGTGCAATGAGTTCAGAGTGTATTTAATCAACAAATAAAAAACAAACCTAATAAATTTAAAGTGTAAGAAATTAAGTGAATCATAGTGTGCGGAAGTAAAATTTATATGAATCAAGCAATATAAGTATATACTATCCTCCGTTTCTTTTTAGTTACAACACGGAAAATTTTACACTATTCACATGGTCTATGTTTTTTTTTGAAAAATAATGTTAAATTCATCTCGTTACAAATTTTCATTATCTAAATTTTAATTTTTTAACTAATAAGGAATTAAATATTTTATTTAAAATTGTGCTTGAAAATGGGGGATGATGCAACTAAAATGGGACAGAAAAAGTAACATTTAAGCGTTTTCCTAATAGTTAATGGTCATTAGCCATTTATCCCTCTATGAGATTTACGCCTTTTCAACACTCCCAAACAAGTGTCGGAGTACTTTTTTTTACTGAAGTTGGAATTGGTGACATTGATCATTTTTAACCCCCTGATATAATTAGTTATATAATTTTTTTTTGCTCGAATTATATAATTTATAAATAAATGTATTTGTACAATATGTCATTCATGATTAACCAATTTCATCAAAATCGTCAAATAAGTAACAATTTTAGCAATTTCAGCCAAATTCACATTTACCAAAGAGAATTTAATCTTAAGTATATATCTTTTCATATATACCATAAAGGATTATTAGCTAAATACTCCCTCAATCCCATTTTGTAAGATGTTTTTCTTATTCACTGGGTCAACGCAAATCACACTTAATCTCTTACTTTATATATCAAATTTGTATCAAATTTGATTCTGGTTTTTGCGACTTTGTAAAACTTTTAATGTAGTTTCTGAATATGTAATTAATTTTTTCTAAAAATAATTTGAGTGTGGACATGGATCCGTTTGCTTTATCATCGGTCAAACATCGTAAACCGTAAAAATGCCTTATTTTCTTTGAAATATATTGCATTAAAATAGTTTTCTTGAAAAAGAATATAGGTTTTAGAGAGAAACAAATTATCACGAGGGGCATTGCCAGAGAGGGAATTGTTTCTCAGATTAAGAACACATAAATTATTCATAGTAGAAACGAAATTAATTTTAATGAGCCTTCAAGAAAACTATTTTAATGCCTATTTTAGCTTTCAGGATATGAGCCTATTTTAATGAATCTTCTTGTACAACAAATATTGTCAGCCATTAGGATAATTTTTGCATTTGGGAAATGCTTCAAAAAAAGGGCAGATCTCAACAGAAAAAACAAAAAAGGGAAGTCCCCTAAAATTAAAAGGCCATTTTTCTATGCATATTATTAAATTAAATTCAAAGAGAAAGAGAAATCTTCTTCTAGAATGGCTCATTTGTACTTAAAGCAGTTTGTGATTATTCAGACTTCGAAGGCCTCTTCTCAGAATCAAATTGCACACTGAGTGAGAGGTAAACTTACACTGCCACAACCAGGAAAAAGAACTGGAGTAGGCTGTCCCAAATCCCACGGTGTTAGCTTAGCCTCTCTTCCCATCACTTCTCCCGGCCATAAAGGGCGCGAAGGAGACCACTGCGTCATACTTAGGGGCTTTGGGGCCGCTTAGAGACGAAACGAGCGGGAGGGTGTGCGAAGGTTAGATAACAGAGACCAACAGACGGGAGCTCAGACGGAAATTAAACGGAAAAATGGATTCCTTTAAAAGAGTACAAATGGTAGAACAGATAGTACCACCTCATAAAGCTAGATGATTACGGCAACATTTTTTCCATCCCTAAAATACCCTAATCTTGATTGACAATTATAAGTCTTTAAGAAAGTGAAAAATAATCCACTATAACATAGTTGGAAGACCCAATTCCGACTGGATTTTTTTAAATAACACTTAGTCCGATTCCCCAAATCCAACCACCGGTATGCCTTTATTTTCCGAAACCCTACCTCCCGTGGGTAACCGCACTTCCGACTCCCGCTTTTTGGTACACAAATTGGAACTCCCATATATTGGCTTGTCAGACACAAAAGGCCCGCAAATTCGTCCTTTCCTCTACATCATGAGTTGTTGGAAGACCCAATTCCGACAAATGTATTTTACTTGTACCGATTTTGTTATGTTTGAAAATAGTTCGGGACCAATACATAACAAAAATAATGTGTCTCAAATATAACGAAACAACTTTGGAACGGAACTGGAACATTAAGGAACAGACCAATGAGACCGGGTCTTTTGCCCACCCCTAACATGGGTTGACACGTGTACATAGTAATGGGTTAATCCATTTCTTTACCTGTGAAAAAGAGAATTTGACTCGTTTTTAACTATTCGTGGATTTTATTGGGTGTTTTTGTAGTTGAAGGGTTTAATTGACTTTTTTTTTTAAAGTAATATGGATTCATTTGATAGCTTTCTCTTTATTTTATTGGCTAAAGGGTCAAATAGACACTCAAGCTTTCTCCATCACTTCACCCCTTATATAGGAGGCTCTATCCGGCCGCCGCCAATTGGAGCGGTTCTCGATGGATTTTTTTGATGAAATTTTTTGAGCATTTTTTTTTCATGAAGTCTTGTTTTCTCATACCAAATTTTAGCTAAAAATTCAATCGGGAAGGCACTCAAAAGAAATTTCGAAGATAACTGCGCAATTAAACAGAGCAGTACATTTTAGAAAATCATTTAACTCTCTAATTTCACCGGGAATCGCCCCAATTGACGATGGCCGGACAGAACCTTCTATATAATTGCACTTTTTAAGTTAGTTCTAGTGAGTAGTGAGTGACTAGTTGACCCTTTAACCTATTTTATTGGGTTTAATATACCAAACCTCATCGTGATATAGAAATTCAGCGCATTTACCCCGTGATTTGAAAAATGTATCAAACCCTTGTGTTTTAATTAAGAATGCACAGAACCCCTTTTATGAATAAATTTAACGATTTGGAATTCACGTTTTCTAATATTCTAATTGAATATGCAAGTAAATATCTCAAAATCTCTAAATTATACATAAATATTAATTATTTTTATTTTATTTGACAATTGAATTTGTTTTTGGCGTGATTAATTAAAACAGCTTAATGCGCCCAATTTTTTTAGAATATATATACTTCGTATCCAGTTATACAGCCCTATAGGCGATAGCGTGGGTGGCTTCCCAGTAACCTCCGTCCTCTACCATGCTCTGCACTTCTTCGATTCCACTGCCATGCTCTGCACTTCTTCCACCACCTTCGAGCTGGCAGACAACGTGCTCGGTTTCGCCCCAGATTTACCAATCCCGCGGAAGATTTCAGCGATTTCCCCATCGCTGACCGTGTCCCCCTTGACGATTCCCCTCAGTCGGAGCATGGCCACGTCTTGCGCTGTCTGCAATAAGTCAACCATCAGGTCAACGTATCTACCCAACGCTATGATAGGTTCTCGCCCACCCTCCGCAGCTTCATACGCCAACAGGTTCCTCAAGATCACCTCGGAATCAAATCTGAATGTGATTTCCGGGAGATGAATCGTGGGGTTTTCGCCCTCCAGGTGGCGGGTGAATCTGATATTCCCAATCCCTTCATCCGGTTCCAACACCCTAAAATCCACTCCGTGCTTCTTGGATAGCCCTGTCACCGAAGGAATGATACGGCGGCTAATGGCTCTTGTCTTTCGTTCCTGTTTCCTGTTATTTGCGGAAACTGCTACGGCGGGGGTCAGAAATGGATGCATCGAGGGTCCTCCAAGTCTGAGCTCGCACAAAGGAAATTCAATCCTCCATCTCGTCGTCATTCCCATGGCCTCGGGATCTTCCATTTTTTCCTCTTCTGGTGTAAGAGGACGATTACTAATAATGCTATAATACATAAAGCTCAAGAGGTGATGTCTCCCCAACGGTTCAATGCACGCCCGCTCCGACACCTTGAGCGGAGAGTGGGCTTTGCAGAAGTAGTAAAAGAGTCGGGTATACAGCATTTGTGTAGAGGTGTGTCTTTTAGGAGAGAACAGCCCTATTTCCTTCCCGACCTCCTCAAGGGCTTCGTGGGGAATTTGGTTCTCCAACATTAAAACGTCCTTCACAACTTCTTTGTGGCCCTGGTTGAGGTTGGAGGCGTCCGTGTTCTCCTTGTAGAGACCAAGAAAATCAAGCAAGAAGAAAGAATCGAGGAGGAAGATGCACTCTAGGGTGGAGCCTTCAAGATCCAAGTACTTGTCATATTGGACTCGAATTAAAGGCTCAATATCCCTCACCCTTTTGAAGGCTTCTTGGGAGAAAAATTGAGTCTTGGGTGAGTCTTCGTCTCTATCCTGAAACAAGCTGATCTGGGCAAGCTTTTTCTGGTGGGTGCGGTGGAGGTCGGGCCGGAGATGATGGTATGGTCCCAGGCCAAGTGTTTGTGGGGTGTAGGCGTCTGGCTTTCTTTCTTTCAAGGTTTTGGGGACTTGAAAGATCGTAGGAATGAAATCAATATATGCTACTTGCCTTAAAATGTGTTCTGACTCTAAGCTCCTGCGACCTTGCCTCACCCATCTCCCTTCGTCAATAGGTGGGCTGAAGACTGCTTCCTCCATGGTTAATTAGATCACAGGTGAGTAGTTTCAATCTCTTTCTTCCTCTTCGTCTTTTGTATTTTTGTCATTCTGGATCGTTGAGAAAGTAAATTTATACCCAATCCAGATTCTTCTACATTATTTGAATGGATTCCAATGCTGAAAGCAATTGAAAGCATTGGGATCAAATGTTACTGCAAGTGAAAGCAATTGAATTGCTTTGTTCGTGGTCATTGGGAGAATCTGTGCTATTCTTGTTCTAGTCAATTTTACATGTCGAACAAATATTTGATTTTGAACAAATATATTCATTTGGTTTAAGTGTTGAATGTGTTGAGATTTTCCTATCTTTGATCCATGAACAAAGCCCAGAAAGTAGGTCCAAACAATGATTAGTGGTACAATATTTGGGGATAGTTCTTTCTCACCTTATTTTGGTTTTGGTTCCACTAGATTTCCACTCTTCCAATTCACTAACAATGATTATTGTGAAAAATTATCTATCATTTAATTAGAATAATACTACTTATTTGTTATAAATTGTGGATATAATCTTGAACCGGAATAACTTTGTAAACCTTAAAAATGATCTCTTAAAGTATCACTTATTCTATCTCTTGAAGGTTGAGTAGAGAATGCGTGATGACAATTTAAATGTGTGAAAGATGATGAACCCATGTGAGTATGTCTAACATTTTTTTACAAGTTCATTTGATAATTCAAATCACTATTTTTTAATTTTAATTCAATAAACTAAGGAGCAAAATTGTTGTGAACATAAGGAAAACATGAGCCAAGTTTACAAATAGGACTAATAATGAATATTCCGAAAATATGACTTATTTAATTTTAATAAGAGAAGCAAAAAGTTTAAAATCTATTTCTTTTTTAAGAATGAATGAATCTGGTTTATGAAAAATAATAATGTTGATCCTAGTTAAGAAGACATGTGATGTTGATTCATATAGAGGAAATGTAACTCATTTTCTCTAGTGATGTCTTGGGCTATGTTTGGGATACCATTTCAGCTAATAATGTGCTGAAATATCATTAGTTCATTCAACTATTATAAAAGTAATGGTGTTTGGAAGAAGGGCTGGTTAGGGCTTAAGCTGAAAAAATAACTGAATTAAAATGTTTCCCTGTCTAGCATTTATGTTCAGCCGTTCCTATTCAGGGTCTTCATTCCCATCTTATCCCTGACGATACACGTCTGCAGACCAGCTCTCTTTATACGTTTTCTTCTCTTTAACCTCTTCATTTCTTCTCTTCTCCACAACCTCTGTTCTCACTTATGCTTACTTTGCCTTCTTTATTTTTGGCCCATTCTTGTGAGTTGTTGTTGTGTGAAACCTTCCTTGAGCTTCATGTCTGGTTACCCGGCATCTAGTAAGGTATTGCTATCTATTTCTAAGGTATTAATTTTACAGAAATTCATTTTAAAGAAATAGTTCTTGCTTATCAACATGTTAGGCACGGGGAATAACTTCTTGCTTTAAAAAGCTAATCCCTTGATATTGGCCTAAGTCCGTCAATCTCTCAGATTGAATTGAAGCATGCAGCTGATCCTTTCTTATCTCAGGTGGTATTTAAGGAAAGGACTACTTATGAAGGAGAAATCTTGAATTTCGAGATAGCTGTTTCTTATTAGCAGAGAGTGACCACCCCATATCTATTGAGGACTCAAACCCAGCTCGCATAGTTTCTTTACATGTGCCTTGTCGTGGTCCCAGGATAAGCAGTGCTTTCAGAAGCAGATATGTACATTAACATGCTTCACATGATTTCAAAGGAAGAGGTTGAAACCTTGCTTATTTAATTATATCATGAAACTATGCAAATTACTATGGGTCAACCGGAAACAGTCGATCTCTTTGTGCTTTAGTATAGGGGTAAGACTGCGTACATCCGACCCCCCTACTCCACCGTAGGTGGGAGCCTTTGCGTCACCGGGGTAAATGAAAATGAAATGAAATGAAATGAAACTATGCAAATTGATTGAAGTATGAATTTGAATTCATTCCCAGATAGTTGGTTCAATTAGATATGTCAACAAAACTTTTAAAAGTCAATACCTAATGCAAAAGAAGAAAGTACAAAGGATTATTAATACTCCGTATCCCAAAACCGATTATTAATATCGCAAAACCTACAATTCATCATCATGGATGATAAGTCAATGTTTCTATCACTTGTACTTTGAGTTTGGTCAACTTTAGCTTCAAGAATTTGGAATTGCTTACTCTAGTTTTTTTTTACTCCAGAGGGGGCGTCTGATGGAGGGGGGCCTGGAGTAAATGGGGACTAAAACTCACTCTATTGAGTTTCGAACCCGGGAGAGTGAGTCGGCGACCAGCTGGGCTGGACCGCTCCCTCTAGATTATGGAATAAAACTACAACTTGTCTTTAAACATTGCAGTTTTGCCAATTGTTTGAGTTGAATTTCTTTATCAGTTCAAGGTATTTGCATTTTTTTACTGTGATGTTTAAATAGAATACATTCTTTTGGGAGTTGAATCCATAGAATGCATTCTTATGGATGAATTTCAATGCTGAACAAATGGTGTTGGGATCAAATATTATTTGAATTGCTTTTTTTTTTTTGTAAATTGGAACTCGAATCTTGCGCTTTTCTTATTCTAGTCAATTTTATAGTTCAGGGTAGAGGACGACAAAGCTAGATTGAGTTTGAACAAATACTTTCCCTAGGATCTCCAACAAATGTTTTGAACATCAAGAGATCTTATTAATTTTTGGGCAGTAGCTCACTAGCTCCCACAACATCTTTTGAACGGTAGAGATAATTATTAATGTTCTGAAGGTTGAAGTTTCATTGTTATTTCAAAAGGTTGAGTCTCAACCCCAAAGGCTCGCACGTCCCGACCTCATAAAGCATATGCGTGGTTAATTATACTACCCCCGTCCCCCTTATATTGTCCGTTTTACCTTTTCAGGAAGTCTCACTAAAATTGTCTCATATCATATTTAGTAAAGTTTGTGTGGCTCAAAATCACTCTTAATTTATTCTTACTTTATCAATTAATATCAACCACACAAACCTGTTTTTCTTAATAATCGTGTCACATTCTTCCGTCCCAATATAAAAGAGACTTCATCCAAAAAAAAAGAGACAGAGGGAGTAGTAATTTAGCTCAACACAGAGATTAGATCAATGCCGACTGCACACAAGGAACCCCTCACTTAGTCACTTTGAGAGATTGCTCCCACTACACACGGTTGCTGGAGGGATTCGATTTTCACTCTATTTTCACTCTTGCGACCAATTGAGCTATCCATGTGATCTCAAGGGTGAAGCTTCGTGGTGCAATTTTTGGTGACAGTTGTTTGTCACCTTATTTGGTTTTGGTTCCACTAGATTTTCATTTGTCAACTGCATGATCAATGATTTGTGGAAAAGTTATGTTATCATTTAATTAGAATAATAATTTTTTATAAATTGTGAATATAAACTGTGTAAATAAAATAAAGGTAAATATTTTATGAATCTGGCTTAGTTCTTTTCATTCCATCGAGGTATTTTTAATGAGCTGAAAATAGTGTAAAATGCACATTATTTTAATAAGAATATTTTGATGGTTAAACATTTTAATATGAACATATTTTTCTTTTACTTTTGCTCTATAGTCATACGAATGTCTAAAAACATAACTACTTATATTTAGGGGAGCTCAATATGTTTTAGTTGAATTTTTTTCTTCAATTTACCAATCAAAACATTGGGTATGTTAGGATTATGGTTTGTGATGCAAAAATGCCAAAGTGCCAAACGCTGCTCTATTAGCAGCTTGTAGAGCCGCAAACGCCAAGAACCAAACAACCCCATTGACTTTATTGAACATCCCAAATATGCCTTGCTACATTTGAGGAGATATTCCAATGGAAAGCGATAATGTGTAATTAGGTTGTTTTCTTTTGGATTGTTTTCAGTCTCAGATCAAACTAGATCAGACCAGATTAGACGAGATTAGATCAGACATGACTTTCACAGTTATAAAATACACAACATTTATTAGACATTTACCAGATCAGACTAGACCAACAAATTTCAGTCCAAAAGAAAACATCCGTAGATTTTTTTTATCAACTTAGAACTTTATATAAACAATAGAGAAATTCATCAAAAGTGTGAATATAATCAAATACAGGAAAATAAAGCAGGAGTTTTAATTAAAAGTCCACGTTCAAACTCCGGTCTTGTGATACCAAGTAGCTAGGGTTTGGTAGCTAGCCGGATTGAGAACCAACTTTGCGGCATCCATAAACTTGACAATAGGCTTGCATAATCTGCAACACTACCAGCACCGCCAAAAATATATACAGCAAATACTTAAGACCGACCGTACAAGGTTTCCTCATAACCTTGACCAGATCCTTAACCTCCTTCTCCACATATCTTTGAACCCTTTTCCATGCCTTCTCGTTCATCTTCTCCCATTTCTCCACCATCTCCTTCACGTCTACCACCACCTTCTTGCTTGCTGACACCATCCTCGACTTACCCACAGCTCGATATTTACCCATCTCATTGAAGATTTCGACGACTTCTCCATCACCCAGCGCATCTCCCTTTATGATTCCCTTCTCTCGTAGCATGCCAACGTCTTTCTCTGTCTGCAATAAGTCAATCATCAGGTCAACGTACTCACCCAGCTCCAAGAAACTATCTTGGGTAGAAACTGCAGCTTCATATGCCACCAAGTTTCTCAACACAAGTTCAGAATCGTATTTGAACGTGATTTCCGGGAGGAAAATCGTTGGTTTTGCATGATCTTGCTCGAATGACTCGAATCTGATACGTTTGACCCCTTCATTGAGCTCCAACACCCTGAATTCCACCCCATGCTTCTCGGACAGCTCCGATGCAGATGGAATGATATGACTAACTACAACAACTCCGTGCGGTGTGTCACTTTCGCCACTGCCCGACGCCGCTTTCAGTTCTTTACTACCCCCAACAACCGCCTGGGCCAACAGGCTGCTCTCCAAGACTTGTGCGGCCTTAAAACCAAACAGAAGTGGCTTAACAATGGCTCCTCCAAGTCCTAGCTCGTTTAATAGAGTTAGAATCTCCGTTCCCAGCTCTAGGAAGCTGGGTTGTGCGCGCGGTCCGATAGGACTTGGAGGAGCTTTATTGACTATGAGACAATGCATATGAGCCAAGAGGTGATTGCTCTTGTATCGGCGCGCCCACCCCTTCTCCGACACCCGGAGTGGAGAGTGGGCTTTGCAGAAGTAGTATAAGACTTGGGAATACAACATTTCTGTGAATGTGCCTTTTTCGGTTGAGAACAACCCTAACTCCTTGCCAATCACCACAAGGGCTTGTGAGGGAATTTGGTTCTCCAACATTAAAATATCCTTTGCAACTTCTTTGTGGCCGGGTTGGAGATTCGCAACGTCAGTGTTGTCATTGTAGGAACCCAGATAATCAAGCAAGAAGAAAGAATCTAGGATGATGATGAACACCAAGGTCTCGCTTGAAAGTTCCAAGTACTGGTCGTAGCAGGCTCGAACCGCCGGTTCGATATCCAGCACCCTTTTGAGGTAGTCTTGGGGGAAGTATTGAACATTATTGGAAGGGGTTTGGGATTTTTTCATGAATTTCTTGTGTAAGGTAAGCTTTGTCTGGTGGCCGGTGTGATGGAGGTCAGGGCGGAGATGGTGGTACGGTCCCAAGCCAAGTAGGTGTGGTGTGTAGGCTTCTGGTTTGGTTTCTTTTAAGAGTTGAGGGACTTGAAAGATATTAGCCCTGAAATTGATTTCTATTATGTGCTCTGTCTGGATGGTCATCCAACTTTCATTGACCCATTTCACTTCATCAATGGTTGGTTTGAAGACTGAAATGGCTGCCATGGTCTGACCAGCTGGACTGAAATATAGATCCCTCTTTCTTCAATTCCTTAAATTGTTTTGTCCCTTGGAACTGGTGTTTGTGTTTTGGCTATTTTGAAAGTGGATATCAGAAGCAAGTAAATTTATACTATACCCAACTTCAATTCTTCTATACGAATTGAAGTACTACGTAGTAGTATATCTTTACTTACTACTTACGTATTATATATTGTTGCATGCATGGCAGCTTGTAGTTGAATAGATACCATTCCAAACTTGTAATTAAGGTAATGGTTTTGGGATAAAGAATTAGTGTCGGTCCAGTATTAGTTGCTTTGTTAGGAGTCATTGGAGCATAAATGTGTACGAAGTACTTGTTATCCACATCTTGTTCCTTCAAAACTTTCAACTAAAAATTGTACCAGGCTTAGGCTACACTACCACTAGAATGATTTTGAACAATTATAAACATAGGTAAAATTATTAAATGAATATAATATTTTTTAATGTAATCCTATTATAAGAATAAAAGAATATATATTTCCCTATTTAAATATTATCATTATCATTATCGTCGTCGTCGTTATTGTTGTTATTATTAATATATACTAGTATATACTATGTAATTGTTATTATTATTATTATTACTATTATTAGTATTGTTATTGTTATTATTACTATTACTTTGATTATTACTATATCATCGAGATAAGTCGAAAACTATAGCCGAGTCCGAGCCCGCATCCGCCGACGTCGGTTCCCAAACCAGTCCTCAGATTGTCAATAAAAGTCCAAAACTGCAGCCGAGCCGAGCCGAAGCTCGCCACTCATGGAGGTTAATATCAAATTCCAACACTATAACCGAGCTTAAAGCCAACTTGTGCCCCACAAAGTCAAATAAGAAAAAGGAGCAGTGATTACTTCACATGAGCAAACTGAGGTCACTCTCTTCTTCAGTGAATTCATTTCCCCGGAGTACAAGTTCCGCAAAGCCTGCGGCCTCGGGAAAGATTGTGGACTTAGCTATTTGCAATACCCAAGTTCCACATATATAGGCAAATGTAATAACAACATCGAAGTGACAATTGTCTAGGGCTTACGTCACCTAGGCGGTTACACACAAAAGGTTCTAGACTTACACGTGTGGCTTTCTTACACAGTCCGGTACAAAAGGAATTAAATCTGTTACGCATAGTATCAATCAGCTAGTTGTCTCCATCCTCTTGCCAAACAAGCTTTATATGTGTCGCCATATTATTAATTAGATTAGCATCTTTTTAATTGTTGTCCAAGTATTTCATTTTTTACACTATAAATATCACCTTCCAATTAATTTATGCAAAGGCACTGCCATTCTTGTGCTCTAGCTTATTGTTACTCTGACAAATTTTCTACTCAATCTATACTTCGCACTTTTCAGTCTCTCCTACTCGGTTTACCACCTACCCTAGCTAGGTTCGGGTAAGTCGTCAATATGTGAACACGAAATCTTATAGTATTACTCATTTTTAAATTAATTCATCCACAAACATGCACAAAGCACACATTGGTTATATGTGTGTGTGTATATACAAGAAAATTCCTGTCCGGAAATTCCGGACGGGAGCCCCGTCCGGCCTCCTCCATTTGGGGACCTTCCCGGTGGTATTTTTTGCTCAAATTTTTTGTGTATGTTCATCATCAAGTATAGTTCATCCATACCAAATTTCAGCAAAAACTATTTCGGACCAGTTAACTTGCAAAAATAATTTGACGACCTTCTCGATTGAATTTTTTGCTGAAATTTGGTATGGATGACTAGATTTTATGAGGAACATACACAAAAAATGTGAACAAAAAATACCACCGGGAAGGCCCCCAAAATGAGGAGGCCGGACGGCACTCCGGTCAGGAAATTCCTGACCGGAAGATTACTCTCTCTCTCTCTCTCTCTCTCTATATATATATATATATATATATATATATATATATATACATACATATATATATATATATGGAAGAGTTCAAATGAAAAGTGGTCTTCCCGTGCAAAGTGCAAAATTTTCACTTTTTCATGTTTCGCTTGCACATTTTATTGTTTGCGTTGCACTTTTTGGCCATTTTGATTTTGGCCAAATTCGGCCAAAATGATGGTGACAGTTTTGTAAATAAACCAATTTTTTTGAGCTACCACGAAAAAGTGCAACGAAAGAAAGAAAAGTGCAAGCGAAACATGAAAAAGTGCAAACTTTGCACGTTAAAGCCACTTTTTATTTGAACTATATGTATGTATATATATATATATATATATATATATATATATACACACACATACACACACATATAATATACGATGTAATTGAATAGAATCGAAATTAAAAAAGATAGATGGATCATGGATGGGTCAGATGCATGCATGGTTTGGATGAAATGCATGTGGCTCCTCAGCTCCAATTCTTCCTACTTACTTCCCTAACTAAGAATATACACACATACATACAATAAATTTGCATTGAGCTCATTTCGTAACATTAAAATTGGCTGAATTGAAATATATTAAGTTCTGATTGAAACAAAAAAATCTAGTGAATTATGAAAAAAATAATCTACTAATTGAATAAAGAAAAAATATATGAAAAATAGATAAAATCATTTTTTACAGTAATTTCAATTCAGCCAATTCAACGAGAAAAATAACCACAACTTCAATTATTTTACGTAGTATTGCACAATTGAACGCGCAAAATCAAAACTTATGTATTTAATAAAAAAGTTTATTGATAAAATTAACAACTCGAAAACAGAGGTCAACAAACATACTCTTCTTCTAAAAAAAACTTGTCAAACTAAATTCACACTTGCTTTTCTCGTAAACAGATCAGCGCTAAAGTATTTATTAGAGAGTCATGAAAAGAGGTGGTAAAGTTGGTTCACCCTGTGATTCCAATTAATATTCAGGTGGTGAAAAGTAATAATTAAGCACCTCATGCATATACACTCTTTTTGCATCTCTCTTTTCCATGTGACCTATTTTTATTTTCCAATATAATGCCCCACCAGGCTCCTCTCTCTCCTATATATACATATATACATATACATATATATAAATATATATAATTATATATATGGATCTGATATTTCATTCAATCTGATCTTCTCAGGTACACAGGTTAGTTAATTAAGCTGCTAGTCTACATATATACTACTCCGTACTACTTCGTATAAAAAACGCTTATACTTAGTAGTTAGTATCCGTTTATTACAGAGTATTACGGAGTACATAACTGTATAAGCTATTAATATACTATATATATGTATACATACTTGAATTTTAATTTATGATCATTATTTACAATTTTGCGCAATCATTTATTTAAAATATTACGTATGAGTGTATTATTATTTGTGATTGAATAAGCTAAGTGGAGAAATTTATCTAAAGATAATTGTTTTTCCAATATACTACGTACTAAAAAATGTGTTAGAAGTAAAAACATGGAAAAAAATTACTAGCGTTATTTGTGAATTTTGTCGTGTAATTTCCTATTAATAATAATTGTACGTGCGTGATAATATAATTGGCTCTATAGACAGATCTTTTGTCAATTATGCTTAAAAGTTTTTGTCTGTTTTCCATGTAGGGTGGCCCCCTAATCCCATCAAAGATTGTCCACAAATCATATCAAGAAGTCAAACGGTTTCTGGGATCGTTCATTATAAAATGAAGAACCAAGAAAATTACACGGTATATATATTTAAGAAACAACTTTTAAGCATATTACACATTGTAAAATTGCATTGTTTTTATACAATACACTTTCTTTCTCAAATCATCATGTTGTTTTTCTTTGAACATGAACTCTTACAGGCTTCCTTGCCGCCGACTTTCGACTATTCCCTTGACCATATGAATAATAAGTCAACGGGAAATACTTTTGTTGGTCAACCTTCCTCTTCATGTTGTGATCAAGTCAATCCCATGGTCAACCCTCATCTTACACCGACGGGATTTTTCAGCGGCGGGTCAACGTCATTCGACAAGCTCAACTTCGCTGACGTCATGCAGTTCGCCGATTTCGGGCCCAAACTAACCCTAAACGAGACCGGGGCAACTGAGGACGAGAGCGGGCTGGACCCGGTCTACTTCCTCAAGTTCCCGGTCTTGAATGAGACGGTTCAAGAAGATAAAGACCGGTCCGAAGGCATAATTATATTGAGCGACGGAGAAAAAGATTGCGCTGCTGCCGCCGCTCAGCAGAGTTTTCGGGGAGACAACCTTGAAAACTACGAGGTTCTACCGCATGCAGTGGCGGCAGGTAGCCTAGAAGGGACTAGTGCCAATAATAATATTACTAATAATAAGAATAAGAACATAAAGGGCAAGAGGAAGAGGGTAAGAATCAAGAGTAGCCAGGAAGTAGAAAGCCAAAGAATGACACACATAGCAGTGGAAAGAAATCGTAGGAAGCAAATGAATGAACATCTTCGGGTCTTGAGGTCTCTCATGCCCAGCTCATACGTCCAAAGGGTACGTTTATTTTGGTCCTACTTTATTTGGCTATCCCACGGGTCAACGCTTTAACTTGTCAAAAACAACTAAAATACAATAATTGTGTTCAAAGAAAAGAAATTATCTTATACTCCGTATGATGTAGTACGTATATAAGTAAAAATGTGAAAACTCCAAAATTAGAATATTATGTTCTTATATCCTAAATAGGAATAATAGTAATGTATTTTTATTTTGGATTCTCAAACTCTTTTTCAGTTTTTCTCAGATTTCGATAAAATTTCCCTAGAAAATGTGAGGTTCAAAAACATGAGAAAATAATTTCGCCCGAAATAGGACTACTTAACTCACATATTATTGACTCACAATGCCAAAATGTAATATTATGATTCAGAACCCAAGTAATTAACTCGTACATAAAAAATAATTAAAGTGCTCATATTTTGAAATTTCACATTGTTTTTATTAGCCCCCTTACAAAAAATTTATTTGCACAATTATTGAGTTTAATAGATCTATATATTAATAGTGTTATACTCCGTATATCTCTTTAAAATATTAGTCATTCGGTTTTAAGGGGAAAGGTTAATTGCTTTTGTTATATTTATGAGTGGACAAGTTTACATTTATCAATAATAGGACAATTATTAATTGTTTTTTATCATTTTTTGTTAATACTAAATAAATTAATTCCA